AACCCTAACCCTAACCCTAACCCTAACCCTAACCCTAACCCTAACCCTAGGTTAGGGTACGTGGGGATCGAAAGGTAGACTTACTACGGTAGCCGAGTTCTTTGTACGCAGTTGGAATCCTTACCGAATTTAAGTCTTATGCCTGGAAATCTGAACGAACACGAATGGCACACGGCCTGCGGGTCATTCCTGGTCCAGGCACGATAGTTCCATACCCGTAACTACGCAGGCGTTCTGCATAGAATGCAGGTTGCTTTACATGATGAGATGATCCATTTATGTGGTCGTCGGCCCGCTCGAGAGACAATTTCCAAGAGCTGGTTAATAATTCTATCTGACTAAGATATCGAGATTGCATAAACTAGTTGTGAGGGTACTCACGGTTCCAAGGTTCAGAAGATGTTCCCCCGATTACGTGCGCTTTAGCGCGATTAGGCCTAGCACGCTTCGGCATCTTGTATATAGACCGCGCGATCGCCGACTTTGCCTATCACTCAGTATTGTTACATTCCCAGCCCTGGAGGCAAATTTCAAAACATCAACTCCAGCAACTGCATTCTGCGTGCGATGGGCACTACAATGGACGATGAAGCTGGGGAATTTCTGGCTAATGTGGAAGGCGGAATCGTGCCAGTGACATGTCACGATGATGTCTTGCGGATCGCATACATTTATATCGATGAGGGGCTGTGGGACGGCCAGGGCGTATTCGATGTTGTGGAGAAGCTGCACGCGCATGGCTGGTCTTTTGGTGAGGGCGAGCTCCGCTTCAATCGGTAATTAAGCTACATCCTCATATGAGAATCCCTAATACCGACGTACCTAGCACTGCATGTGTGTGACTAAAATAAAACAGTACCTTGGATATATTTTATCTCACCCAGATCGCAGCAGCCTACTACCGCTGGACCTCCCAACTAAATGGGGACGACCCCCTCACCTTCTCAGACTTCGACGCCTTCTACACTGCGCACCATGCCCTCCTGCACCCCACAGCCTGGCGCTCCTACTACTCCACCACATTCCTTACCCAACCCACCACAGCACGCTTCTACCGCATGCCCGACCTCCAGGACCTCCCGGACTCGTCCTCCCCGCTGTGCCTGCCGCGCGATAATCCGGTATCCGAACACGTCCTAAAGCTCCCCCGCTGGGCTTATACGGTCGGGCGGACCCGCCACAGGCAACCGCTCCTTCCATTTGACACGATTACTAAAATAGCCCTCCGCACGCTTGACGCAGTCTTGACACGCCTACACGCGGCCTACCCTAGCACACCACCCTTTTCAGAATCACATGCGCGCTTCTGGCTAGACGAGTATTACGAACCTCCCATCGCAGAATCGAAACAAGAAGCATTGCCCACGAACACCAACACCCAGCTTGAGGGAGAGGAGAAGAAGATCCCTTCATCTCCAAGCCCTACATCTGACCTATCACCTCGCAAGGACAACCGCGAAGCATGGGGGCCCCATCACTTTGGGCTCAATGTCGCGTCGGGATTGTATGATATACACAGTTTGGAAGCACAGTACCTCGCACAGGTGTCTTCGGGTAAGGTTGTCGAACCAGAACCTAGCAAGCCGGTGTTTTTCTGGTGTGGGATACCGGATGGAGGGACTGCATTTCAAGCGTTGCAGAGGGGGTGGCAGGAAGAGATTGGGAGTGAGGAGGAGGTCGAGTTCCTAGCCGCTGTTGCGATGGAGGAGACAGCTGGACTAGGAGCTGGAGCAATCAAGATGGATGAGTTGGACTGTTCAATCTGGTCACATATCCTACTAGCGGTCATGCAGGCTGCGTGGGTAAAGAACATGCAAGAGAGGGAGCATTTCTTGGGGGAGCTGGAGAGGCGGATGGTGCAAAAGGGGAGGATTGGCGAGGAAAGAGCAGGGAGGTGGGTTAGGGAGGCCTTGGAAATTATGGTGCCTTATGTACGCGTGTGGCAGGGCGAATGGCCTGATACAGAGGAGAGGGGGGAAATGCTGCGCCGGATCTTGGTGGAGAATCCGCTGCTCTTTGCACGCTGGAAGTTGTCGCCTGTTTTGAGGCAGTTCGCTTTTGACGACGCAAAAGTTGACAGTCTCGGCTGCCACACGGCGTACTGTTAACTACTGCCAAGATCCCTTCACCCGGGTAGTAACTAACTGCTGGCATACCCTACTGGTAGATATAGTCGACCATAGTGTGGCACCTACTGTTAGCAGCGCTGCCTTTGAGCTGGGTCCCAGGGGAGAGTACGGGATTCAAGCGGTTTATCTCAAACCAAGTTAATTCCAGTCCCTCAGAGTATTTTTTTCCGTCGCATGTTTTGCATCACTCGTCTTCCTTTCCCCAATCGTTCAAGTTGAGCATCAACTCAGTCAGTATACAGATCCCCACTGTGGTTTACAACGCATTGTCGGTTATAGCAGCATCTGACCACGACTCACCTCGCGAGTCGGGCTCGATTACAGTAAACACCCATACTGCCATGATGCTTCCCCGCTTCCTCAAACGGGTGATCATCGAAGGTTTCGCTAAAAAGTCTCGTCGAGGAAGGCAACAACAGCACCTGTTGAACTCTTTCTCACTTCTCCTGGGAAGACTCAGTTTTCAGCGCGGTTCCAGCGAGGTCATATTCGATATTCTCCTGGATCGTCGTATCAAACAAGAAGTTTTTTCTAGTTGACCATCGAATTTGCCGACGTAGCCATTTCAAGTTGAGCTTTTCAATTTCAGCGCGTCAAGGAGATTCTGGCTCTGACCTGGCTCGTAGAAGCGCATGAGCAACTTGACGGTGGATCTTTTTCGCGATCCTGAAGAACCAGCCACAGCGGCTGTTTTTTCGTGAGGAAAGATATGCTCAAGTCTTGAACCACGGAGATATTGGGCGTCGTCGCAAAAATATGGTTGATTTTCCGCAGCCCAAGATCGCCCCCAGGATGAGAGGGTGTCAGGCCTTTCTCGACTGCACCATCAATGGGAACCGAGCGTTTTATCATCCGAAAAGCTCTTCGCGATGCAGTCATATGCAGTCACGGCTGTTGTAAAAACCTCAGCATTTGAAGCGACAACTAAGACACACCAAGCAGCACTCTTCGTGATCAGTCTGTCAGTCAGCCTGGAAAGAGAGATCGAGATCGACAACAATGTACGATGACGACAGTTTGTTAGCTTGGAGCAGTTTCTAACAGCCTGGCAGCAACCGATCGCGTTCGTGGTGCATAGTCTCGGGGGCATCATTGTCAAAGACGTACTCTCTCCATGATTCCTTTGCGTATGTCAAACACTGCTTAGCGTTATACAGGCCATTCGTCGATCGGAGAAAACCCGTGAACGAACGAAGCTCATCATCTTCCTGGGGACGCCACACCGAAGGAGCGCATACGCTAGCTGGCGCCAGATCGCGTCAAATCTGACCCGTGTCGCCCTCCAAGACTCGAACAAGAAGCTGCTTGAAGCGTTGGAGGTTAACAATGAGGTGCTCGACAACATCGATGAGGAGTCCAAGACCATCGTGTTCAAGGGCGGAATCAAGATCCATTGTTTTCAAGAGGCACGGGACATACCAGGTACAAAAGGGCTGGACGAAAAGGCAAGTCATCCACGAACGCTGTGAACCGCATGCCCTGATCGTGCTAATGAGTACAGGTTGTGGACGACTTCTCGTCGAAGCTCGACCTCCCACGAACGCCGAGAGCATTGATGCGAATCACATGCAGATGGCTGGAAGCGATGCCATGCGCGGAATATCTCAGTCGCACATGGCCCCTATTGGGGGAATACTTTATGGAACTGGTGAGGCATGTTGTGCTGAGCGAGCCGGGTAGGAACGTCTGCTAAGCCATTTGTAGTCAATCTTTTTGACAGCACAACAATTACGACATGGGCCGAGCCCTCCGGGTACTTTGCCTTAGAAGCAGCCGGAGTAGTAGAGACTATTGTCGAAGTCGGAGAAGTGTACGGATGGATGACGGCGGCTCTGCGGTCATCGCCTACCGAGAAAATCACAACTATCACAACTATCACCCCAATTCTTGAGATTAGCGCCGAAACCAATGGCAAGTCGTTCCAGGCTTATTTTGGCCAGAAACAATTGGACGGCTCCTTGCGCTCCGTGGGACAGTGCTGGCAGGATCTCTTCTGGAATCCGGTTGTTGTTTCCGGATTTCCCGTACGACGTCGCCAGCCGCGGCAGGAACCAGGCCTTGAATGCTCGGTCGGCATGCTGACAGCGCTGCTGAGGACACGGAACTTGGCCGTCTTTTGCGATAATGTCTTCATCAAAGGCTTCTGTACGATGCTAGTACCGACGAAGTATTCCAACGGCACGGTGCACTGGCACGTTTTGTTCAATGAAGACGGGAGTCGGATTCCCTTACAGACCCCCGCGTTCATGATGTTGTCGGAGACTTCGACCTCAGAAAACACCAGACTCTGTCCGACATCCGTTCAGCCCGTCACATCGTAGGCTGGTGCGAAGACGCCGCAAACTACGCCGGTAAGTCATGTCCCCCTCTCCCGGCACGCTGAATTGCACCATCGAGTACATGTACTGATGCTCTTGGGACGAAGGCGCAAAGGAAGCAAATTATGCAATTAAAAGAACGAGGTTTAAGGAGCCCAATTCCCGAATCGCGTTCGATCGCGCCACCGTCTCGGGCAGACGATCAGTGTCGGCTGGTTAATATATCTCCATCGCTTACGGTACGGGCGAAGCTTGCCGCGCCGTCTGTACCACGGAACATTTACCAATCTATTAAATTCTGGGGAAGTTGGGAACTCGGCTCGCCGATCTTGGTACCTCGTTGAGGGGTTGTACGGAATAGCTAGGGTGCTGGGAGAGGGGGTTGTTACCAATACAAGCTCAGCAGGCAGGAGCAAATGAGGGAGATGTCATGTTGGTTGGAATTCCGTTGGTTCGAGAGATAGTCGCCCTGGATTAATATCGTCAAGAGACGGCCATGTAGCGAGACTATTGGAGGAAAGTAGAAACCCCATGTTGGGGATATGATGGCGATGGGCCATGGGGAGTCGGGACGCCGTTACGGCAGATCATTATCATCACAGCATCGGTGCCGCTGCGGCACAAGATCGACTCGGAGAATATTGAATTGGAGAAAACGGGTAGTCGGAAACTTCAGGCCCAACCAGCGATATCCCTATAAAGTGTGCCTTCAGATCTCTATCTACTTAAGATCTCGGTTCCGGGTAATCTCGACGACCTGGTCACCGTCCTGAAGCAACAGTGGTTTGCCAAATTTGACTTCAGGGACTGTGATCAGATTTCTAGGACTTGTTGGTATTTGGACAGTAACAGTGAGTGGCGGTCAGGTCCAACATACACAACTTCACTCTTACAACTCCAACTCCTTACGATTACCAATCTCCACCCTCTGGCCCTCCAGATCATAAAATACCCCTCCACTTTAGCTAACAGACTTTCTTATTATTCCCGTGACCACTTCTCCAGAACTTTTCCCGCTCCGCTCCGTGTCGCTTTAGATCTTCGACCCGAGATTTCTTCCCGTTGTCCACCACCAAGATCACGGCTCCAATAGCTGATGTTACAGGTATATGATCGCTAAGAGACACCCTCTCCGGAGAATTAGAATCCATAGTGTTTGCTATCCAATCTGTCGTTCTTCAAGCTCACTCAACAGGTTCGCCAAAACTATAAGAGCCTCTTACGGTAAGTCTTACGGGTACCTAAACCAACAAATATTCCGTAGAACACTACAATCCATTACTCTCCTTCCCTTCGCTCGACAGTCACGGGCACTCACAAGATTCGTGGAGCCGGATTCAGGATGAAGAACCTCTCGGCCCTTGCCCTCACGGCCCTTCTGCCTTCGGCTACCGTTGCACACTACTATTTTCCACACTTTGTCATCAACGGCCAGGTGACGCCCGAGTGGCAGTATACGCGCAAGCATGACAACTTCCTCAACCCCTCATGGGAGGACGGCGCCTTCCTTAACAGCAATGAGCTTCGTTGCAATAAGGGGGCTTCGAACCATATGCGCGAGCCCCAGACGGCCAAGATCACTGCTGGACGAGATACTGTCGGCTTCCAAACCTACGCCGGCACCGACGGTCTCTACCACCCTGGGCCTGTCCAGGTATGTACCACGAACCCCACCTGGGTAGAAATCTCGAAATATGGAACCTAATCATCCACGCGTTAAACAGATCTACATGTCCAAGGCCCCCGGCGACGTCCGCGACTACGACGGATCCGGCGACTGGTTCAAGGTTGCCCAGTGGGGTCACCGCGCCGCCGGAACCGCCGATAGCAACTGGATTACCTGGAAGATGAGGCAGTTCACCTTCAAGATGCCTGCCGAGATCCCTGCCGGCCAGTACCTCATCCGTATCGAGCAGGCGGCCACGCACCAGCCGTACACAAACCGCGAGTTCTACGTCGCGTGTGCGCACATCGAGGTCACCAGCAGCTATAACGGTCAAAAGCCCACGCCCACGTTCAAGATCCCCGGCGTCTATAGCCGCGACCAGCCCTTCTTCAAGTACGACAGCTGGGCCCAGCCCCAGCCGAAAGTGTGCCCCATGCCCGGCCCGGCCATGTGGCCCAACAACAACAACTTGAAAAACCTCACCTAAATCAGATGAAGAGAGGGTGGGACGACCTGCCGGGTAGCCTGTTGTAGGGCTGTGGGCGATCTCCTATTACTAGGGGACTGTCTTCTTCGCACTCCTGTCTCGGGGACTCCGTTCTTGGTTCAGGACTAAAGGCCCTGCAAGAAGATGTTATACGCCTTGAAGACCTTGATCTAGATGATTTCATGGATAGATTTGAATAGTCACGGTCTTCTTTCACGTAGAAACAAGCTGGTTGAATATATATATATATATATAACGTAATCCACCACCGAGCGGGCCAACCCACCGAGCGGGACAAAATTTCTTGGCCCAGCCATCTCATCTCTCAACGCAACATGTCTCAACAGAACAACGTGATTTTGGCTAAACAAGAAGGCCGAATTGAAATTGCCCTTCAAGCCTACAAATCTGGCCAATTTAAAAGCCTCCGACGCGCTGCAGAAGCCTACAACGTACCAAATTCAACGCTTGCCTATCGTGCATCAGGCCGCAGCTTTCGACCTAAAACCACACCCAACTGCCGGAAACTGTCCTCAACGGAGGAGTATACAATTATTCAATATATCCTTGACCTTGATTACCAGTAGGCAAGCACTGGGCTGAACGGTTTATAACACATTCGGACGAGCTTAAAACAGCGTTCAATCGAGCAAAGGACCATCAGAGAAGTCTCCAGGAAGATCCTCAGATTGTGGGTGATTAGTTTGGGCTCGTGGCCAATGTGAAGGCCAAGTACGGCATCCAGGACGATGACGTACACAACTTTGATGAGAGTGGGTTCCAGATGGGCGTGATTGGGTCAATGAAGGTCGTCACTGGCTCAGAGAGGCGTACTCGATCAGAGCTCATTCAGCCAGGCGATCGTGAGTGGGTTACAGTCATCCAGGGTATCTGCGCTGCAGGCTATGCAATCCCACCCTTTATTATCTACAAGGGCCGCGTTCACATCTCTGTGTGGTATGAGGAGACAAGTATACCAGGGAATTGGAAGCTCTCAGTCTCAGAGAATGGCTGGACAAACAATGAGCTTGGTCTTGAGTGGTTGAAACACTTTGACATGTGTACGAAGGGTCAAAAGGTGGGGTTATACAGGTTACTCATCTTGGATGGGCATGAAAGCCACCTCAACCAGGATTTCAAGGACTACTGCGAGGAGAACAAGATTGTAACGGTCTGTATGCCAGCTCATTCATCGCATATACTCCAGCCCCTTGACGTCGTCTGCTTCTCGCCTTTGAAGCAGAAGTACTCCCAGCGTATTCGAGACTTGGCATGCCGACGTGTCTTCCACATCAACAAAGAAGGCTTCTTGCCAGCATTTAGAGATGCGTTTCTTGATGTGTTTACAACAAAGAACTGCAAAAAGGCCTTTGAGGCAACAGGACTTGTTCCCTTTAACCCGTTAAGAGTCCTGGAATGTCTTGAAGTACGACACCAGACCCCTCCAGCACCTCCTCAACCAGAGACCCCGTGGCAGTCTAAAACACCAAGCAATTCACACGAATTTGGATCTCAGTCAAAGCTCGTACAAGACTCATTTACTCGGTCACCTGTTACTGCACAGGAGAGCTTCTCTATGCTTATTAAAGGTGCTGAACAGATGCTTCACCAGAATACGCTCCAAAAGGCACGTATCCATGAGCTTGAAGAGCAATTAAAGGAGATAACCAAACGCAAGTCACGCAAACAGAAGAGGATTCAGAAGGGTGGGACACTAGAGTACAGTAAGGGAGCTTCTCTAGTACCTGCAGGATCACCAAGCGCAGCTCAGTCAAAGAAGAAGGCTCGTAGTTGTAGGGATACTAAGAGGGCTCAAAGCAGCATACGGCGCTGTAGGATTTGCAAAGAACCTGGGCACTATGCTACAACCTGTCAAAAGGTTACAGAAGTGTCTTCTGATTCTGAGCTGAGCGAGCTTGAGAGTGATTTAGTACCTGAAGATGATAAGGATTGAGGTTGAAAAAGATGAGATGGCTAGGCCAAGAGATTTTGTCCCCCTCGGTGGGTTGTCCCGCTCGGTGGTGGAATACGTTATATATATATATTTATGTTCTTTGATATTGTGTTACTGTCCACGAACTTCGTTCTGATCAATCAAAACCAGACCCGGTTGCAGACGGCGAATGGTACTCCAAATGGTTTACCAATTATTACAACCGAGTTCTCGCACCGTATTGCGCCGCTCTTCAGGGCTCCCTAACGGGATCGCACACGAGAACCCAGGCGCCAGTCTTCAGAGACACCACGATATGCGACACAAAAGACAAGGACCCAACCGATCCGGCCAAAACATCCTTCGTCAGAGAAGCGGAAAAGGGACCAGACAACCGGCGTCGCTTGCACATGATAGATTTCAACCAGGGGCACAGCTGATGGACCGGCGCACCGTGGGGGGGCGCAAGGCTCATATCCTCCGAACAAGCGAGATGCTAATGGAGACGAAGAGGAGGAGGCAGATCATGAGGTGTAAAGGTCGCAAGCCTAACGATTTCGGCTCGAAAGGCTCGGAGTTATGATTGTCAATCGGTTGCGACGGGGATGCGATCGCCGTGGTTTATAATGGTTCTTGTTGTGTGGTCTCGGTATAGAGTGAGGTGAACTAGTCACGTCAGCGTTAGAATATACACGCCTCTCTACTTTCTCCTTGGAACATACCTCTACGTACCTCTGTGTAACTATTTACGTCCGATCAGATCTAAGCTTCTCTGATAGAACCTCGAGTGGCTTCAATCTGGGCTTGATTGTTTAGCGGTGGGACTTGATGGCTGCTTTGGTTTGGCTCGCTTCTCCCATGCCCCTATCTCTCATAGACGGCATTATCGACTGTGCCTAGATATAGGTATGATTCTGCAGTGTATGAAGAGAGAGTAAGCGGCAAGACGTCTTATCCTGTGTCCTTCGGAACCTCCCTGAAGAATGTCGAGCGGTGGAAAACCACTAATTGTATGTCGTGGAGCACTGTAGAAGTGGTCTCATCTAGTTCAGCCCCTTGGATCATTCAACTTTCCCCTCCACGCAAACGTCACCCATAACAGTCTTCTCAAAATAGAGCTCTGCAAATTCTAGACTGCACAATCCCTCGATTGCGCATTGAGCAGTCCATGCTTCCTCAAAGGGCACCCGATACTTGTACCAAACCGTCCTTTTAACTAGGTCCTCCCTTCCTTCCGTAGCGTTGTCGATGAAGTCACCTTCTGGCGTGAGCCACTGCCAGTGACACACGTCTTCATGCATGACAATGACCTTGCAATCCTCAGTGGACTGCTGATCTAGTATGAGAAAGATGACAGGGTGAATGCCTCTGGGATCGCGATCAAAGAGGTTTTTGAAGGTGCGCCTGATCAGGTCCCAGTTGGCGGGATTGAACCGAGTTTTCACCGTTTCGCCAATCTGCTCTTGGGGTTCCAAGGCCTGTTGTGAAGGCGAGTGTACTAGGACATATGGCCTATCAGGTTCTCCATCCGGTCGCCTGGCTTCAGGTGGACATTCGGCTGCGCAGTAGAAGTCGGCCCAATGCTGAGGTCTAGTTAGTTACATTCTGATTCGGATATAACTACGGTGTCGTTTTATTGGAAATAATGTTGCTGCATACCCCAGGCGTGATACCGTGCTTAATAAATACTAGCTTTTTCAGCATTGCGATAGTCAAAGGCAGTCGCCGCTGGGCACGGATGAATGGGACGTGTAAGCTACGAAAACCGGGAAAAGAGACGGAGAGCGAGAGAGCAGCCGTTACTGTTTCAGCGCCTGCTATATATAGACTTGTGGCGTGTGATGTGGCACGGCAATCGACCAACGGAAGATGTCTTTTGATAAATGACATCACAACTACCATCGAGCTTGGTAAGGTCGGGATATCAGCAGCTCCGGGACTTCTTGCTCATAACATCTTGGACTTGATATACACAGTAGACGGCGAACGGTTCGGTGGTGAAGCCGTGCTACCCAATTACACAGGAAAAGGATGAATGGAAATGTATACGGCGGGGTTTACAAAAACTCACGATGATCTAGTCCAAATAGTTCCATACGTCGAAGGCAATACGAAGAACGATGAATGCTGGGGGTTACCCCGAATATTTGAAGCCTTTCCTTGTTCTGCTACAAATGCAACCTATACAACTGTCAATATAGTCGTTTCGGCCTGATTCGCAGCGCCACGGATGTCTTCTGCCCACTCGACCAAACCCACTCTCTCAAATCTGCCGTCTGGCAGCTTCCGGAAAACTAGCGCATGCATTCCGAACCCATCTTCGCCATAGATGGTCACGTTTCCGGCTTCAAGACAGAGCAGTTCGCTTCCACATGGAAGGTGACCATCGCCGGGCGCTGATATATCATAGTCGACAAGGAATTTTCCTGGTTTTACTCCCTCTATAACCAGGGCGTACGTTTTACACCCGTGAGCATTAGAGGTATACTGAACTGTAGCATTGAATGCCGGCCCATGAAGAGTTATTGAAGCGGATTTCAGATTCAGAGTGTTGTCCTCGTAGAGATGTTCACAAGTCGCGCCCAGGAGGCTGATCCGGTCGCTGATCTCCAATGCAACCCAAGGCTGTCCAAAATAAGTGACGCCTGCGCCCACCGAGCACCAAGACCACGTAGGTGCAACCCATTCACTGGCCTTGGGCATGCTAGCTGAACGAGCAGACGCCCTCCACATCATATTTTCCAGAAATGTGTCGCGCCAGAGGCCCGCCAGGTATTCACCTCTCTGACCGAGGTAACGGAACTGTTTCGCCATCCCAGAAATGGCCGGGAGTCTGTCTCTCCGATAGGTGATATTCAAAGAGGAATATTGTTCCACTACTGTATTCCATGCAAAACTTCTCCATTCCTCCTTGATCTTGAAATACTTTTCCCGCTCGTTCCACCCTAGACAGTGCCAAAAGTTTTTCTTCGCGAAGCGACCGTGAGTCTTTTCTCCCAATCCTCTCTCACTCTCAATGTCTCGGCCAGAGCACATGCAGACCGTTTGCGAGTTGCATTCCCAAATCAACTCAACGGGTGAGAAGTGCAGATATCGTGGAGAAAGCAGTCGTTCCTGATACGCCCAAGCTCTCTTTAGGAGAGGAAACAACTCCATCCTGTGTTCCAGCATTTCTCGGACGAAGATCTTGTCGGTGACTCCTAGCGCTTGAAGCCCTTCCACCAAGACACCCGTTTCCGTCGGACTTGGCGTGCCGTACAATTCCCCGTCACTGTTCGCTGCCACGCTGGCGGCCAGGGTCAGCGTGGAATTTCCATATATGCTCGCCATCTTCTTCGATTCATTGCTCCAGTCGTCATCGCTGTCTTGGATGATACATAGCGAGTCAATCCAAAGGTACTCCACACCAAGTGCATGAGTGAACTCGAGGGCTTGACGGAAGAGGTTGGGTAGTCCACCCCACGGTATTCTTTTTTTTCGCTCCGTTATATTCTCAGTTTTCGTGGTACAAGGTGCAGGTCCCGCCCCCCAGCGATGGGACAAGCAGAAATACTCCATGTGCGTGTCCGGTTCCACTACGTTTACGATGTATTCTCCCATTGATTTACGAACCCTTACAAGCCGTCTGGGGAACGAAGTGTCGTGCGACAGTGGTCGGCAAGCTGGCTGATGATTTTGCAAGCAGTTAAGAATCCACAACCTGGTTTGACTGATGGCCTCGCTAGATCCGGTGGAGCAAGGGATGGCGAAGCGTATAGGTATCCTTCGATGCAAGAACCTAGTCATACCGTCAAGGTCACTCGGTATGTCGTGCTGTTGGTGCGTCCGAAAAACGCTCAACTCAATCATCTTTTGACATGTCACAAATTCATATGAGACAGAGCGCCGGGCCGAACTGCCGCCCTCTACTCCAAACGGCTCCCAGACCCTTATCTTGTCCTCATCACACCGTTCCATGGAGCCTATGGTTGCGTTGTTTGCGAATATGGTATTCACGGATTTCCACAGGACAGCACAGTATGGGCAATGCTGTGCCGCAGCAGCAATGTCGTGGGCGGTCCACACCCTGTCTGGAAACAAATCTTCGCGCTCGGCATTCTGGATGCATTTGTCGCAAAGTCGATTCGCCATGATGCGCGTTATGCAGATCACTGTGGCCGTAGTAGAACTCAACGCGAAAGATAGAGAGTTATCCTGGCCGGTAAGTGGGTGCTCAAGTGGATCCAAAGCTCTAACTTAAAAGCATATCTATTGCAGCATAGCCGCAGGATGCCTGTTCGGTCTACGCCACACAGGAAGCCTGTTGCCGAACAATTCAGCAAATTAGGATGTTGTGCTAAAAATACGTGCTGATATCAGCCACATAGATTTGTTCTCGCTTCAGTGTGCATGGGACGTTATACTCCTGTCATTCTTGAAACACCTGTCATTCTTGAAACATGAGTTATCGTTTTTCGAGCCGTCGAGCCAGGTCGACTCGCGTCGATGGCTAACCGCTTACGCCAACGATACCCGATCATAGATTAGTCTATCTGGGCTTGTTTGCAATTCATGTAGCGCGCACGACGCAGCAACAAACTTGAAGCTTTGGAATTCCTCATCAGTGCGTCCGAATCCCACTCTGTCCTCGTCCTTCATTATGCCGACTTGGAGACAAGCGATACTCAGACGCAGAGCCTCCACACAGTTCCCCGCTCCCGGTTGCACTACTGCATCTTCCAGATAGTTCTCGTCGGCTGCACTCTTGATATTTCTCTTGCGAATCATACTCTCAGCCCAGTGTGCAATACTGTCGAACTCATCTTTCAACTTGATTGAGCGGTCTCGCTGCCGCCTCGTTTGCACTCCACTCCTGTTGAATAGAGCGCCTGTGAAGACTTCGAGCTCAGTGATACGCCTAGCAGCATGATCCGAGAATTCGATGGTGGCATTCCAAATCGCGTCCTCGTAGGCGCGACGAATGTCCCAAGCTTCCTTCTTCGCGTCGATCCATGCAGGACTATGAATATTATGTATGTCAGGGCCGCATTGGCTTTTGATATAGTGAAGCAGGTCGACGCAAATTCCGTGTGAGTGGTCCACAGGTATCTTGATGTTGTCGTACCAGATCTTTCGTTCATCTATGGCCCGATACAGGACTCCGTTGATTTTTTCAGAATAATAGTATAGATGGTTGGGCCCATCGGCGTCGTCGTCATCTTCCTCATCGTCCGGCGAAGGCGCCAACAGTTCGTCGAGTTGTATCTGTGTCCTGTCTACGATATGTGCCGGCGGTACTGGGGCGAGACTATCGACCCGTTAGACCCATCATAACCCCGATGCGAAAAACTTACAAGTCCGGTCTGTACTTGTTAGACCTTATCTTCTTAAGCAAATTCATGTCGACTGGGATCCCAGTCTTTGAATAGTCGACACCCGTGGAGTGCATATTGGCAAGCAGTAGACAATCTATCACGTATCCTGTCAGTGCTGACCAAGAAAGGAATCGACGCGCATACCTGAATCCAGAGTGCCACTTGGTCTTTGGTCCGCGAGTATCATGTGTTTGACAGCAATGAGTCCCAATTGGTCCGTTGCCATAAACTGGATGAAGAAGTTGCTCATGTCTTCTCGCGTAACTGTCCTCCCGATGTCCACTGGCGGCACGCGTGGGTAATCTGCAGGCTCCCATACATGGGTGCACTGGCTGACGGCAGCAGGGTCCCAGATGATATTGTAGACATCTCCGTCGAGATCGCCACCGCTCAAACAACTAGGAAGATCTCTCGACCCCTTTTGAGAAAATACGATGCAGTTTCTCAGTTGACGGAGAGGGTGTTCTCGCGGAGGGACTACGTTTGTTACTAGCTGGATATCGCCTGGGTGAAGAGCGGGCGAGCGCGTGACAATCATTCTGGTGTTGTTCAGCATCGTATAGTTTGTCGAGATGAAGTGAGCATCATCGAAGGTAATATAGATCTGCCCTTCAGCTAGATATCCCGTCTCATCTATGATACCGAACAGCGTAACGCCGTGGGAGATAGGTATTCTCGCTTTGTGTTTGAGTAGGCGAATTTCTCGAAGCACAGCTGCTTCAACGACAGATGAGAGAAAGGGGTCCTTTCTGTAATCGATCCGAATATCATCCAACCATCGGATGAGTTTCGGCAATCGGGCACGGGTGGCGACGTTATGATGCTCGAGGAAGGCAATTGTGTTCGCAATGTGTGCCGTTGTCAGCTGGAGACTCAGCAACGTTTTCTCCTGCTGTTCCAGGAACCATACTGGTGATACCCCCATGTCTTCTAGGATCTTAATCATCTGTAAACTTTTAGCCAACAGTCTTCTCAACGACATGCTCCTGTTGAGGCAGGTAATGCGCCATATGATACTTGTTCCAATGAGCATAAACGACGGAGGGACATACCTGTCTATTAAGCACCATACGAATTGGATGATTAGCCATGTCGCAGATTTCCAAGTTTGCAGTGTCGTTGCTCTCAAACTTCTGCATGGAGGGACGCACACACAAAATACTGGCGGTCCCCAGTCTCGCATCGAGTGCCAGCATCCCCTTCGCGCCGCCCCAACGGATTTGAAAACAGGTCGGGCCGTCCTGAAGCTTGCGTCGGGGTAGCACAGCGTGGATAGCCTTCACAAAGGTGGTGGAAATGGTCCCAACACCATCACTGAAGACACGAGAGCCATCTGGGGACTTCACGTCGTCGAGGCGATAAACCTGTGTGTTATTTGCCTCGAGGGAAATCGCTACGGGTGTCTCAGAGAAGGCTTGTCCTATACGTGCTGCGCAACGCGCGGGGGACTGGATATGATCGAACTTCCCCAGGTAGGAAATGACGGAGAAGTAAGTTTGGAGCTTGCCTTCATAAAAGAATGGAGCCATGAACCAAGCAGAATGACTTCGAAGAGATGAGTGCGAGAAGCCGAGAAATCCATACACTCTTCCAGCAACGCTTATACCCTCGCGAAACACAGTCTTGAAACGGTCGTAGACCTCTTCATTCGACAGATTAGAGTTGAATTGCAGGTCAGTGCCGTCTTCCTCGCTGAATTGAACACGCATGAAGTACTCCGAGTGGTCTGGAAATCTGCGAAGGATTCGATTCTTTGCTTCCAGGTCCGGCCCATGCAGAGCAATTCCGGTCGGTGTAATCGTCGCCCTATGAATCTCGACAAGGCGCTGACGACCCTTTGCCTTCAACTTGTTAGCTCCCGAGTATACAGGGCCTTCGCAAACTTACGGTCAGTAGCATATTTCCATGCCCAAGTCGAATGTCTTTTTCATTCCTCAACAGGTAAGTCCAGATTTCTTCGGGGTCGAAAGCTGATGCTTGGACCTCGGGGCCGGGGAATGGGATTTGCGAGAAGAGCTTCTTCACAGCGGCGGCCGAGATGGGAAAATCCTAGGGGGAGTCAGCCATCGGCCATACTGCTTCATCATCACTGTTACTAGCCTTTGCGTGAGGTTGTTTATGTTTGGCGGCGAGTTCCGTCATCCTTTCCAGAAGAGATTGCACCACCCACGGAAGTAAGAACCCATTCTTCACTAATGCCTTCATCTGAAACAGCAAGGTGAAGGGTAAAATATGGGCCGATTTTCGAATCTCCTGATTCAGTAACTTCATTCCAGTGACTAGGTCCCTGCGGTAGCCAAGTGACGAGATTGCAATGTCGCTGTAGTGGATGGTGAGAATGTCGCGCTCTTTCAATCTCCTCACCATTTCGTGGAAGTCGAGGGATGTGACGGACAGACGATAGGCCAAACCCAATCCGAGTATTTCCCTATGATGGCAGCGGCTACCGGACTATGATCAGCGAGGCACACAAGTCTTCGTTTCGGCGTCCGTTGCGGTTGCGGTTGATGGGTAAGTGCCAGCGCAATCAAGGCTGCAATCATATCTTGGGACTCAACGAGATAGAACCTCGGGGCTTCCCAGAGCGTGAAGGTTAGTGCTGGTGGTCGGGTTGAGATGTCCAAAGCTTCAATGATTCGATACGGTATCTCCACTCTGTAGGTCCCAGACCGACTAGGGCCACATGGGAACTCGATGATGACTGCGCGTTTGGCGAACTTCGCATAGCCTCCCAAACCTTGCCAATCAACTTCCGGGGAGAAAATGAGCTGGCCGCCCTCCTAGTCATAATAACCGCATGAGAATGTCTGGCTTTGGAAAGTGATTTTCGGAGCGCGACTGCTGGGTGGCAAACTGCGGCATTGTTAGTCCATGGGAGGCAGCCGGAGGGCTTTACTACTACTCAAGAATACTTACCTCTTGGTTAACTCTCGGTCTTTCGCCGACTTCAGGAGGCTTTTGAGAAGGAACTCGTCAGGTGGGCCGCGGTTGCTCAGTTTACAGTCGATGGACCGGCCGAGGATGGTGAGCTTCGATTTGGAGCCATACACTTGGAGAAACCACTCTCCTTGATTGCGATATAGGAACGTGATTGTGCCGTAGTTCTTCTTCTTCACCTTATGGCAAGACCAATCATTTATCCCCTGCGTACCCAAGTATGCATTCAGCTGGGTCCTCAGGGCTCGATCGGTGAGATGGGAAGGAAGGTTGTAGAGGAACACTTCCATGATGACGATGATGATGATGGCGAGGTTCAGATGTGGTTACGAGACGGTAGACATGAGAGAGTCGGTCTTGAAGTGCTTGACGAGGTTGTTGGCAAATGCAATGGAGTGTTTGCGCTGGAGGTTGGGTGGGTAGACTGCTTGCCTGATGCGGTGTTACCGCAATACCATTCATTCCCCGCCTATACTACATTTGGAAGTCATACTGAGAATTACGCATATTGGTATATGATATACGCAGGGTCCAAAGTATTACCAATTTTGTCAATTCACCTTCACTTCTTCTGCCCATCCCCAGGCTCGTCCGGACGTGCCGCTCTCGGATTCACTTTTTGTACGTTGGAGTTGACCGGATGCCGCAGATTTTGGTCCCCAAGGGTCCTCATACGGCTAGTTATCCCTAGACCTGTATCCTTACAACAACCAACGAGCTTCTTCCTCTCCGGATTCCTTATGCGCCTCAAAATCGAACCCTGATGATGGTAGCATTTCTTCTGAGCAGTTCGGCCCTCGTTTTGCACCTCGCGATGTGTGTAGTATACTGAGATGAGGAGTGGTAACGGCTCGCCAACCTGTTCCTCTGCCCATATTCTGGATACGATCGAGTACGACTTCAGTTTTTCCCACCGTCTCTCTCAGTATGGGAGCTGTTATCCTGCTTTCCAGGTATCTACAGCATCCTTATAGTCTTGGGTAGGGGGTACTTTGATGACCCTGCCCTCCGGGAATTGAGGAGTCGCAGATTTCGGCCTCTTAAGGGTACAACAACGTGCTGCAGGTGTTCCGATTCTTAAATACTCTGCGAGGCGTTCGGGAGTGAGACGTGCCAAGAAGTCGGACTCTACTATCTCAGTACACAATACAGTAGTGTAACGGTAAGTGGCCTTGCGCTCACTACTTGTATGTACTTGGCCAGGTGACGTCAGAATACCCTAGGGTGGCACCAGTGGTGGAGCGCGATCTTACACCCCTACTCCGACCACTCCCACCTTACCAGTGTCTCGGGAGCGAGAGAAACCCATGTCTGCTTAGGTACAAGACTGGACTCAGATTATGTATATATTATCTACTTGTTCCTTCAGCAGTTAAAGTAGCCATTCACGCTGCTGCGTCGGAGCAACCCAGCTGCTGCGGCCGTAACGCTTTTCGGGTATATTGCTGTTCTCCCGCCCTAACGTAACATCGCATGTAATGT